CTGTGCTGTCACTGGCTACATCCACCACCACAGAAGTATAACAGAGCACATGTGTACAGCAACAGTCCTGTCAAGCAACACCCCATATACCAGGGGCAGCCAACTCATGACACGTGTGCTACACATGGAACATGCCATCTCTGTGTGTGGCCTGCAGGGATGAAGGCAAGAAACAGTGGTAAATCAGGCAGGGAACAAAAAAGCAGAGCAGTCAATTGGACAGTGGAAGGGGATCAGAGTGACACTTGGAGAGGGTGTGGGTCTTAGCTCCTGGCACACCTGCCAAAAAAGTTGGCCTCCACAGCTATACAGTACTGAGGCAGTGGCATCATGGTGTAAAACAGGTCCCCACATCTCTAATTCTTAGCCAAAATTTTAGCTCTTAAAACAACTCTACTCACATTAGCAGCACCTAATGGCACCAAGAAAGATGATAAGTTGTGCATACACCCGCCTTGCTGCTAGCTTTGTTTTGAAGTTGAGTTTAATATATTGGTATTTCACTGGACTCCACAAAGCATACAGCAGTTACAATTTAGCATGTCAAACCAAGGAAATATTGAGCACTGAATGTTGTGTCTTTGTTTACCAGATGCACTGCTGTCTTCTGAAGTTCAGCTTCTGCAAATGGGCACTGTGCTTTCAAAACATATGAAGGAAGCACTTGCATGAGAGCACCAAGATCAAATGCAAGCTTTTTTTGCAATTTTGCATTGCAAAATTGAACCCAGGGATTTTCAAGGGCTTGACAAAAGCATACTGAGCTCAGGAAATATTATTTACTTACTGCAAGGACCATGGCCAAGTTGTGCTAGTGTCTGTATTTCCCCATCTTCAATTTTTAAAATCTTTCCATCAGCTGTCCCAGTAAACAGCACATCTGCAAAAACAATGAATATAATTAGCAGGGTTGCAAAATATACAGCAGCTTTTTTGCAAGTGATAAATGCCAAATGGTGACACAGAGCACCAAGTCTGCAAACCCAAGCATTTAAAAAACAAATTCAGTTGAAGATAACCATCTTCCCATTTATTCTTCTACCCTAACTGCAGAGGAAGGGACAGAGCAAATAACTCACATCATTAATTGGACTTCTAAAAAGGAGAGGGATGGAGTATCAAGAGGGTATCTATCACCATCTAATGGCACCTCACTTCAACAACCAGATTTCCTCACAACTGAGACAGATATGCCACCCCTATTCCTCTTTACAAGTCTCAACAAAAAGGGTAGAGCTGACAGCCTCTCTCGCTAGAGCGGATTCCTCCAGGCCTGAAGCACAGTGGGCTGGTTATATTCCTACTGCCTACACTGTACCCATTCTGTGGAAAGATTGCTTCAGTTCTAAGGGGTGTTAATCCAGCTGGAGCTCCCCCAGGTCAGTGTTGCTAAACCAATTTTTTTGCCAAGTGATGTGAAAGCAATGGGACAAACTAGTTTTAATATGAGGTTATGAACTTAAGCCTCTCTCTGAAAATTTCTATAGGTCTAAAAGCAGCAAATGGAAGATGGTTGAGTTGCATGAAGTTATAAATTGTCTGACCTGGATGAAAGTACCGCATAGAGAAACAAACTGAGAGCTGGTCTGGGCAGAAGGAAAAAAAACAGCAGCCTTATGCAACTCAACACTTCAACAGAAAAAGTCTGTAGTCAAGCAGCTATAGCAGATATTGGGAAATGAAGGAGTTTTGTTGTGAATTGCTGGGTGCTTCTTTAACAGGTTAAAGAAAGGTATGGATTTAAAATATCTAATTAGTTTATTAGGAAATACAGCAAGAAGTGAATGAAACATGTTGTTATTGAGCAATTCTTGTTTTAAAGGAGGCTCTGGAGAAACTGTCTAAGCTAGAACACCCCAGCTCCAGCACACTCTATTTGCTTTCAATGTTAAAATGTTCAAGGACAAATTTAAGTATTAAAGCCCAAACTTTGCCCCCATCCGGACATATTGTAAGATCCATCTCTCCCTAGAGGCATTCTCCTAGCAAATGGGCATGGTGCACATAGCTCCACTCAAGTCTAACCCTCCTGATAAGGAGCTACCATGCTGAAGTAAGGAACAATCATAAAGACACACAGGCACATACAGTAAAATAGGATTCTGTCCTAAATGGCTGCTTTTAAGCTGTGTAACTGACACTCAAGGTACTTACAGTACAAGTCTATTCTACATGGTGTATATACGCTTCATTGTTCATATGGCCTCTGAACAGGGGCAGCAGGTTGCATTCTGGCTGGGGATGGATGCTGCTTTATGAGAGTTACACTGGGCAAGTGTCAGTCACAAAATTATACCCACAACTCGTGGTTGTTAGACACAGGAGGAGGAAGAACAGCATCACCCTGACTTCCCAGAGTGCTCTAGCCACCAGGCCACAGATCAGCCATTATCCAAGCCCTATTCCAGCCCTCCCTTTGAAACCAATCCCTTGGACCACAAGGACAGGGTGATAAGCCAGACAAGGAGGAAGAGAGCAAGTTCAGAGAGATGGATACTCTCTGGAAGGGATGGAACCCCAACTTCTAGCCTGGATCCTTGCTCCAATGTGACAATCCCCCTCACTGCTCTCCACCCCTTTTATTCAGTAACTATTAAATGAAAAATGGTCAGCTTTCATGAGGATGGCTGGAGAAGGAACTGGGTAACATGCAACTTGCGGCCTTAGCCCTGTTCTGGGAAGTCAGAGAAATATGGGTTTGAATCCTGCCTGCAAGAAGGGGGCCTAGACCATGAGGCTGCTGCTTCCTGGGCAAGTGCCCTGATCATTAGGATACTTTGGACTAAAACATCAGAGTCCCCACACTGCACAGCAAGTAGGATTACACAGATTACAGAAGTGGCCAAAAAAACTAACTTCTGGGTTCATAAAGTAAAACTGGATTCTGCCCAGAGAAGCCTCCACAGTTTTGGAGAAGAGAGATCTATTTCTCAATTAGCCTCTTAATGAGAAAAAAAAGCCACAATAAATTCCTATGGTTTCAACAGTGCTTACCACCAATATTAACAATGGATTCTGGTCCAATGATCTGATTCTCAAACAACCTTTCTGCTTGTCGTAACTTAATATTTGGCTCCAGCACACCAGTCAGAAGGGGAGGTTCTTTGAAGCTGCAGAAACAAAACGTACATCTCATAAGTTTCCCATAGAATATGTGAAAAGTGTAAAACACTCTTGAGCAACCAGTTGAGTAATTTTTCTACTATACTTGTTATCTCTGGAAACATGCCTTGTGCCTGGAAACCAGCAGTCACACCTGCTATCTAGTCAGCAAACTGCAATATTGCCCAACTTACCACCCAACCACTCTCTGATGTTGGTAAGACAGGAGAAGTTTTGGTTTTTTCCTCCAAATGCGCTCCAGTTATGAGAGAGTACCAAAGATTTCCACATCAGGTCTGAATCACCAGGAACTCACTGATGCAATCTCATTTCATCTTCCTTGTGAAACGTGCTAGACCAATGGTTTTCAACCTGTGGTCTGCAGACTCCTAGGGGTCCATGAAAAATGACTATGATCAATCAAAAGTATGTGAATACACACACTTACAATTCAAAGGGGTCCACAGCTCCACTCAAAATTTCCAAAGGGATCCACAAATGAAAAAAGGTTGAAGACCACTGTGCTAGACTAAATGTTCCAATGTCAGCACTGTAGAGTTATGCTTTTTTTCTTAAATTTGTGTGTGTTAATGTTTGTGCTGGCCCAATGATTTTCTCTAGCTTGACAGTTGCACGTTGGTCCTCAACAAGTTTACAGTCATTTTTAGATCAGGTCCAAACTTGGCAGCTACATAAAACTGGAAGAAAGTCTTTAAAAAGCAATAAACACCAAGTCCTTTCTAACTGCCATATAATGGGAAACCCGTGAGAGAATTAAATGTTGTGCCAATTTTTATGGGTATTTAAGTGTGTAACATTTGATATCGTGTTACAACGTGCATTAGTTCATTAGACAACCTGAAAGCACTGGAACAGAGAACTAGAATGAAGTCTCACACAAATACAGCACCATCCAAGTAACAAATGTAACAATTTCATATGAGACTCAAACAAGCAAGAACTTACCTGAATAAACATCTGTGTTCACGTTGGCTAAACCACAGTGTGACCTAAACACTAATGTTAAGAATTAAGGTTCTAAGGCTGCCCACGGTAAAAATTTCCTTTTCATTTCAAAGAGAACAAGATCAGATCCTAAGTGCACCTTAATCATTGCCCCTGAAACAGCCTTAATTACTGGGACAAATGCTCCAGCAAACGCAAGTTCAGTCTCTCAGGATTCACAGGTAAGGAGCGCACAACTAGATTCCTCAATCTGACCAATGTGTACAATGCAAATACATACCAAAAAGCTGCACACAGAACATGTAAAATTCCCATCATGTTCATTCATACATTCCATGCAAAAGGCCTCCCTTGTGGCAAAAGTGTTCCTTGTGGAAATGTTGCTATCTCCCTGTAAATACCAGTCAGGTATGACATGCAGCCCTGACCCAGCAAACTCTTAACCATTTGACTACAGTGGAATCACTCATGTGCCTGGTGTAAAGCATGCATATCCAACTGTGTTTGCAGGATCAAGGTCACCTTCACTAATCAGTTCATCTCAGTACAACAGATACAGATAATTAACATGTTGAAATTTCTTGTGCTTCAGTTCCAAAAGCCAGAAAAGCTTGAATGCTTATTCACAGCTTGCAAGCTCCAGAGAACACGACAACTGACCAGAGGAATACAGTATAAAATATGAACAAATTATCATCACCTTAGATGAATATATATAACTATCTTGTGCTACCAAGACATTAAAACTAGGGCTGTGCAAAAAAGTGACGATGCATAGGGAGTGCAGGAGGTGAAACTGAAACTGCAGCAGCAGCCTGCTGAAATCCAGTGCGCAGATCTGCAGGCCCACACCCCCTCCAGGAAGAGCTGGGGAAATGATCAGAGAACCGGGGGAAGCGAACAGAGAGCTGGGGAATTGAACCAGGCAGTAGGGGAATGTTCAGGTCCCTGAACATTCCCCCAGTTCCCAATTGGATTCCCCAGCTCCCTGATCGCTTCCCCCAGCTTTTCCCAGGGGGTGCAGGTCCCTGGATGATACAGATGACACCAGGCTGCTGATGCCGGCTGGGACCAGCAGTGGGTGCAGCCCATGCCAGGTGCTGGGAAGACTGGTGCTGGTGCTGGCCCCGGCCCCAACCAGCAGCGGCAGCATGCTGTCTTCCCACACACAGATCCAAGGACCCACACCCTCTGGGAGGAGTCTGGCACATACACGCAGCCTTCCCAGGGGACGTGGGCCCCGGATCTCCATGCAGGATGACAGCAGGCTGCCACTGCCAGCTGGGGCCAGTGCCAGCACTGGGTTCTTCCCAGCGCTCAGCAAGGGCTGCGCTAGGCAGACTCGGGTGCTGGTGCTGGCCCCAGCCAGCAGTGGCAGCATGCTGTCATCCCGCACACAGATCCAGGGGGCCCACGCCCCCCAGGAAGAGCCCAGCACAGCCCCACAGCCTTCCCAGGGAGCGTGGGCCCCCAGATCTGCATGTGGGATGACAGCAGGCTGCCAGTGCCGGCAAGTGATATGAGTTTTGCTTTGAACAGTTTGAGGTGCAGTTTCCCCGAAACCCCTGCACCTACCTCCTTGAAACTTGGCAAGCTTCATGCCTCCCAAAGGGGCTATCATCCCTGCATTTTTCATCTGAATCAGGCACAAATTGATAAAGTTATAGGCATTATAGGCGACGCCAGCTGGGGACTGCTTAATTAGTTAGAAAATCTACTGCATGGAAACACCGATGCAATGCTCCACAATAAACAAATTTAAATGTTATAAACCTATTTAATTTAATAAGGATTAAACCCCGTGATGTGTGCAGGTGCCTACATAATCTATATACAGTAAGAACCAGTGGTTTTCAACCTTTTAGACTCAACATTCCCCTCCAAAACTTTTCAAAACTTAGCAGGAGCCTATTTATAAACTAGGATAAGTATTTTGAATATTACTATTAATATAACGATAATCTTTATATTGTATGTTATTAATTGATTTGATCATTATATTTCATTCATGCCACTGCCACCACAGACAGGCAGAACTACACCAACACCTCCTGCAGAGCCAAGTCAAGAAGCAGCTGTGGCAGGTGCATGTGCTCTACCATGCTTCCAGAATACAGAGGCACACAGAGCAGTTCCACCCTATGGTGACACCAGCCTAGAGATAAATTCGACAGCTACTGGGTAGTACTGCGCTATACACTGTTTTCAGGAGGCACATCATTGCCAAACTAAGAAGAGCTACAGCAGAAATGGCATACCTGCCTGTATAATGTAATGCAAACAGGTGCCTCTTTTTGCTGCAGCTGCTTCTCAGGTCATCTCCAGCATGCCTCAAGAAAACAGAGGCATAAAAGACAGTTTCATCCTGCTACAGCAGCAGTGGTGCTAGTGTTGCAATACTTCTGGCTGGCTCTTGCAATACCCTGTTTGAGAACCACAGGTCTACACAAGACTAACCTCAATGTGGAATCCAGGATGTTGCCTTGAAAATGCCAAACACTAACACCATCTTATGGGCTTTGTACAATAGAAATTATTTTCATGTCTCATTTTCTAGGCAACCCATTTGCTGGGAAATTTGTGCAGTTTTCTTTGTATGGGTTGCTTAAAACACACTAATCAGGGCCTGTACTCCAGATCTACATACACAGATGGTCTTCGTATGATTTGGAGAACTAAAAATTTAGGAACTCATATGAATTTAGCAAGAAAATTTAAAAAAAGATAGAAGGGCTACTGGTACATCTCACCTCCAGTGCTTTACTAGGATAAGAAATCCTTCAACTAGGGACCAAAATATCTGTAAGTTCCTTCATTATTTAGGCTGCCTGCCTTAAAATAGCAATTTAAATAGTTTAAGACGACTTCATACACTGAGGGCACATCTACACGTGTATTAATGCGCTGTTGCTACGGCACATTAATTTTAGTATCTCTAATACGGGGTACTATAGAAAATGCACAGTAGCAAAGGCACACAGCCTTTTTGTAATGCTTAATGTGCAGTAGACTAATTCTGCTGTGCATCAGCATGGTTTTTGCTGCAACGCACTAATCTGCAGTAGATTAGTTTACTACACATTAAGCGTCTCATGTAGCTGGTCCCTGAAAGGATCAATTCATCCAGCAGCAAAATGGAGCTGGATATGGAAGTTGGGTAAGGGCACACAGCCACATTAAACACTGACTTTGGGAGCAAAGACTAATTTATCTAGCTGTCAATGAAATGGTGAACATAAGCTGAGTGCAGTTACCTTAAGCTGGAGTTTGACTAGGACTCCACAGCAGAGTGCGTTTTAAAAACAGTGCTGTATTTCTGTACCAGTACTTCAGAAATCTGCATTTAAATATGTTTTACTGCTGCAAAACAAAGTGTGAAGTTTAGCATTAAATTCTGTATATTGGCAGAAATGTGTAATAGCTTATTACCAAGAGGCAATCAACACTACTATGTCATGTTAACAGTCTGTGTGAATGCAAGAGCAATATTTATCATTTCCCTTTCACCACCCTGTTAAATATTTATCTAATCAAAACAAGGCCCCTTCCATTCATATATCTAAATGGTATGTTTCTCACATCCTCCCAAAGGCTGGGAGCCCTAGGCAACCTGACTACACACAGTGATTGGAAAAGGCAGTGTTTCACTTTCCCAGAGTCCTTACACAAGTCACATCTTGTCAGGCTGCTGATTCACCAGGACATTTCCCACCCAACACGGAGCTCCTACACACTTGTTTGGGAACCCTGGAGAGAAGAGTCAGCCAGAACTACGTTTGGTTGCCACACTGGAGACAAAGATATAAAGGCCTGAACTGCAAATCTTACTGAGAACTTGGACATTAGGAGGTAGATATCTACAGTGATGAAGAAAGCCAGTCTTACAACTCCTTCAAATGATGACCCAGACAAGCTGTGTAGACACAAAGTGATGTCAGGTAACAGAGAAACAACAGATTCAGCAGGCAAAAAAGAAGCAGCAACTTCTGAAGCTAGGATTCCCCCCTGGTGTCCTCTTTCAAATTAGAATAACTTTCCAAAGTAAAATAAACCATGTTCACCATTTTAAAAGTGTGTACTAAACATTACAATTCAACATAATTCATTTAAATATGAAGCACAGCTCACCTTAGAGGTTGAGGATCTATGGGACACTCCAGCAGAAGAATTGCTCCAAGCAAGGGAATAATTAGGGTCACAGCCAATGTCATGAAGGTCACACGAAATACCTTACTGCTGTATGTACTGCGACAAACACACACACACACACACACACAAAAATTAGGATTACATTTAAAACACAACCTCAATATTTTAAGGCTTCCTCTTATTGCATAAAATTTTGTTTAAGAAAACAAAAACAAAACAAAACAAAACAATTTCTTACCATCCCTCCCCGGAAAGCTAAGCTTTGACTGATAGCTGGCATGAAACTGTGGAGGTAAAGATGCGCACACTGAGCAGAGTCACACAGACACCGTGGCAATGGTGCACAGCCTGTGGGAGCCCACTGCCCATACAGGATGTGACCCCCAGCCACTTAGAAGTTGGACAGCCCTGAATTAAGGCATTCCATCTGCTAATAGCTTGCCAAAGACTTCTTTGCTCTTGAATAAAAAGAGCACAAGCATAAGAATCCTTGGAAGTTAGCCAGAACTCATTTGTTTTCAAAGATAATACCCAAGGGGCTTCTCCACAAGGTCCAAAGAAAAAGTTCACAGCTTCAAGTAACTTACACTGGACTCCCAGGATAGTACCTCTGATGTGGCAATGACAGGTCTCTCAAATCCAGAAATGAACTGATTTTGAAAATGCTCATGCTCTAGACAAAAAGAAAAATACACTTTTCCTTTTCTACAGGTCCACCCTGAATATCACCACCTCTCTCAATATGAATGTGTTTATTTATTACGCACATACACTTTGACTGTAACAAAGTCCAAAATACAAGGAAAGGGCTTAGAGGGAAAAAAATACCTATAGATGTTTAGAACACCATGTCTTGAACTAGAAAGGCAGCTACTGAGGCTTTTAGTCATGGTCTAAAACAGTCATTGGCAAATACCCATTCTCTTTGCAGCATCAAAGCAGCCACTAAAAGCAGTGTCTGGTTATGGCATATACAAATCCCTGGACCCCTTCCAAGGTGCTGTCCTTTATGGGCCACCATCAAATAGGAGAGAAATATGCAGTGTACAAACGCCCCTATGATTACAAAGCAGTTATACACAAACACACTGCTAATGCCAGTCCTCAGGGTAACCACTGAGATTAACTATGCTGTCTCTTCAACAGAGATCTGAAACAGAAGTAGTGTTGGTTGGCCCCCACTGGTATATGAGCACCCACAAGTCTCAGAGCATGAACCCCATAAAGTTTCTTTCATAGCAGTATAGTAAGCCCAATCCCCTGATAAACCAAAGATATCTATTGCTATTAATGTGAACAGCTGCCCCTGGCTAACCTATGAACGTACTGTACAGTGCCCAGTCAGTCAAAATGGTGGAGCACGCAGCAAGGCATTCCAGGATACTGGGTTATGCCAAGGTGACAGCTAAGTAGTCTACCCCTCATGGCAGTGTTGAACCATGCCAAATATATATCTACTGCCTAGCACAAGGCTACTCCAAGATGGCAGCAGATGGGCCAACTGGTTTGGCTGGATGCTGCAAGAACTAGTCCTTCATTGTTCTTCTGCACGCGAGGTGCTATCCATGGTGACCAACCCCCTGGATGATGATTCTTCAGTACTCCTCTGTATTGCAGTTCACCAGAACCCCCAGGCTCCTGGGGCAATTCCTCCCCTCCAATGACCTGGGCACTAGCATCAGCTCCTCTCTGCCCCTCAGTAATTTGGGATATTATGATAGTGTCCTCAACACCAGCTGCACCATGTGCTCAATGGCATTATAGCAGCCATCTCTGATAATCAGAGGGCTACTTAAGTTGTGGTTAGACTTACCCATTTCCATGGGTTGGTCGCAGCACAAAGCCTCGCCCTTCAGGGCTGATTAGCAGACAGGTCCCAGGGAAAGGAGGGACAAAGGGGTGGCCATCATCTAAACTGCTGGCTGCCCTTCATGTGGCCCTACCCCACAGCACCAATTGGCAGAGAGGTGCTGGGGCAGGCAGAGGAAGGATGAGGGAGTAGTAGCCAACTTTTCTGTTGCCCTTCATGCCACCCCACCAGCCAGTACTTTCCCTTCCCAGGCAGGCTGTGACTCTGGGCTGCAGTGCCAGCAAGGACCACTGGCTCCCACTGGGGAGCCAGCATCTTATTTTTATTACGTTTTTTTTGTTGCTGATTTCGCAGATAATCTCAGATTTCACGATTTCCACAAAATCTGCAATTTAAGTAGACCCCTACTCATGATACAAGCTGAACAGAGTGGTTCAGGGAGTACCTGCCTTGTGTCCTTCGGGTACCAGTTGTCCTGCAGACACTACCACATGTAGCCCCCTCTGCTTCAATGCCAACTTCCCCAGGGCACCTAAACCAAACCCAGCCTCCTTACCCACAGTACTAGAACTGAAAGCTTGGCAAGAAAAAGCAAGGCAGTGATATAAAGCTGCCGCCTCCTGACACTTTTCCCTCTGTAGCTGCAGAGAGTGAAAAGACTCTGATGCAGAAAATAAATGCTCAGTGTCTTCTAAAACTACTATTTGAAAAATACTCCAAGCTAAGAACTGTAACCCAAACTTCTTCGTGACACTAAAGACAGCCCAAAGAAAAGAAAGAGAGCAGAGGGGGTTAGAGCTCAGTTGCCAAAACCTTAAATCTTATTTAAATCTTGCTTTCTAGAGTAAAGTTCACATACCTGGCCCCAGCTAAGCTTTCTGATTGCACAGGAGTACTGACAGAGACAGAGGGTGCAAAGGTGACCTGAAACTTCACATCCACCTGCAGGACCCAGTAAGGCCTATATTTCCGCTCCTCAAGCTACAGCAGCTAAAGCAGGGGTGGGCAAAATGCAGCCCATAGGCCGGATGCAGCCTGCCAGGCCATTCTATCTGGCCTGTGGGGCCCCTAAAAAATTTAGAAAATTAACATTTACTTGTCCCTGGCTGCCTGTCATACGGCTCTTGATGGCTTGCCAAAACTCAGTAAGCGGCCCTCTGCCTGAAATAATTGCTCGCCCCTGAGCTAAAGGCACTATGGCCAATCACCTGCTAGGACCTTAATTTAGAAAGAACAGAAAGGACACAAGCAGCTCTGGATACCAAGGGAATAGACAGTAACTAAGTGATGAGCAAGAAGGCATCCTCACAGGATTAGACTGCCAGAACTGCTCACCTGGAGGATAAAGATCTCCAGCAAGCAGCACAGCAAGACACTGCTTATCTTGGTTGAAAAGGAACAGAGACACCCAGCAGCAAAGAAGACAGATCAAGGGGAAAGAGGTGGCTGCAAAGGTCTGCTACGACTTGCCTTAGCTACATCATGCAGCAGTGGGTAAAGTGCTGAACACAGTCAAAAGAGAGAGAGAACACTGAAGGCATTGCAGCGTCACTCCTTTTAACTCCCAGCTCCATACTAGGTAATGACACACTTACATGCTTCAAGACGAAGCGGCAATCAGGGCTCCTGGACAGAAGTGATATCTTTTATTAGACCAACAAGATATTTGCAAAAAAAATTCTTTAATAGCAAGAATGGGCGACTGGTGCCTCCCGAGTCTGGAGGGAGCACCAGATGGCTGATGAAGGGGGTGTCCCCCAGCCACCAATCGCCAAGCCAACGGCAAAACCAGAAGTGCACTTCCAGCAGTACTGCCGGTTTCATGGCTGGAGCTTCTAAGGGGCGCACAGCCCACCTCAGGGGGTGCACATGCACCTGTGTCCACCCCCTACGCGTCGCCAATGATTGCAAGGTTTCGGGCACAAACACCCTTCATCAGGCATTGGAGAAAAGGCTGTAAAAGTTCTCCTGGGTAGAAATGAAAGTTCATATTGCATACGATTTCACATAGGAGTCAACAGATGGAAAAGCCCTCTAATTTAGCCCCATGATCACCTTGTGGGATAAAGGAGGACAAAGGAACAGGTGGCAACACTGTAACAACTGTCACCCTCCCTCCTGGGGAGCAGGACACAGCCACAAAATTTCCAGGCTATTCAAAAATGCCAGTGTTGGAGAGAGCTGTTGCAGGGGAGAGGGGGAGGCTTCGCACTTTTCCCTCTACACAAACACCCGCCGGGATGAGATGCACCTTGCTTTTCAAAGAAACAAGAGGTCTAATCAGGAAGCTGGAGCAGGAAGTAACGAGGGACAGGCACGAGGGAGCCTGGCAGGCCCAGCAGGCCCCTTGTGCCCCCCTCCCCAGGCTGCCGCTGCAGAAGTGGCCGTCACCGTATTTCCCTGCTCCTCACACACCCGCAATTCCCAAGCGGAGGCGGCAGCAGGAGGCCGGGGCCCACCACCCACCTGCCATCCTTGGCGGCCTGGGCCGCGCTGTCCTCGGTAACGACCTGCGGGCGGAGCGGGCGGCGCTGCCGCAGCCCCTCGGCCTCATTCATGCTGCTCGCAGCGCCCGGGACGCCCAGCCCGCAGGCCACGCCCCTCCGAACGCGCCCGCCTCGCCGCGCGCCAGTCCGCCCTCCCGGCTCGCACAGATGACGATTAACGGCCTCGGACGCGGGGTGATGACGCGATACCCGTTCTCCCGCGATCGCGTCCGGCGCGGAGTGCGGGGCACTTCTCACTGCCCGCCCCGGCCGTGGGCGCTGCCGGCGCGGACACACGTTCCAACCCGGTGCAGCTTGAAGCGCGTTACGCAGCCTGCTTAAAGTGACAGCGTCATGGGGCCTAGCGGGGCCGGCGCCGGCGCCGGGCAGTGACACTGGCCAGGCGGCAGGGAGCACTGCGGCCCGCTGGGTGAGCCGGCCCGGGCTCCGCCTGGGTCACCCCGCGGCTGGGGGCCTGTGCAGGCCTGGGCCAGGCACACCAGGCTCCCGCACCGTGGCTGATGCCTCCATCCCTGTGGGGAGCCAGCTGCCGACCACCGGCCTTCTTGCAGGTGGGGGCTCCGAGGCCTTCCGAGCACCCAGAGTCACAGGGCCAACGTGGTCAGGACCCCCCGGCCGATCCAGCAGCCCCTGCAGTGAGGTAGAGGGCTGTGCCCAGCTGTGGCTGGTGAAGGACAATGGGCATTCACCAGGTGACGTTTGCTGGTGATGTCCTGGTAATTTGAGCCCGTAGTCCAGAGGGAGCAGTGGCCTCACACAACTGCTGGTAGAGGAGCAGGTACACTTCTTAGTGAGTACCCCAGTGCTTCCAGCCCTCCCTGCTTCTTGGCCTGCTGTCATCTCGCTGTGCGTTCATGCCTTCCTGCACCAGCACCATGGCTCCTCACTTCCCGCGCACAAGCAGGGAGACCCAAGAGCTGCGTCGGGTCCTGCTGATTGCCCTGCGTGACTCTCGCCGTAGGATACGGTACATCACACATGGGCTGCTGACCCTGACACGGCAGCGGGAAGCCCTGGAACGTGTCCTTTTGCCAATGCGTACTGAGCCGTGTGTCCTGCCTCTGCACCCCTGCCCGCCAAGCATCCATGACTGTGTGTCCAGATTCCTCCTGGAGGATGACGATGAGGCCCTGCTAGATGCCATGAATGCCGGGGTGCTCTGGGACCACCTCCACACTGTTGAGCGCAAGGTCTGGGCACACCCCAGCAGCACTGACTGGTGGGAGCGGGTTGTCCTTGGCACCTGGGATGACGAACTGTGGCTCCAGACCTTCCGCATGCGACGGGACACCTTCATGGACATTGCCGCCCAAGTGGCCCCCCACATTGCACGCCAGGACATTGTCATGCGGCCAACCCTCAGTCCAGAGAAGCGGGTGGCCATTGCTGTATTGAAGCTGGCCACTCCTGGCAGTCTCCGCTACATTGCCAACCAGTTCGGTGTCGGCAGGTCCACAGCTGGAGAGGCTGTCCGGGAGGTTTGCCTGGTCATCCAGGATGTCCTGGCGAATCGCTTCATCCGCCTCATCAACCCACAGGAAGTGGTAGCTGGCTTCCGATGCATTGGCTTCCCTAACTGTGTAGGGGCCATGGACAGTACCCACATCCCAATTGTCTGCCCACCCCAGGGTGGTCAGGCATTCATCAACCGCAAGGGCTACTACTCGGTCATCCTGCAAGGCGTCGTTGACCATCGAGGCCGTTTCACCCACATCTATGCCGGCTGGGCAGGCAGTGCCCACGATGCCCGTGTCTTCCGAAACTCCCCTCTCCCCAACCTGATGGAGAGTGGGCGCTATGCCTCCGGGCTCCCTGATTGTGTCATTGGCGATGTTGTCATCCCCCCCCTCATCATCGGTAACCCAGCTTACCCCTTCCTGCCCTGGCTGATGAAGCCTTATGAGGGCCAGCTGGACCGTCGGAAGGAGCATTTCAACCAATGCCTGAGCAGGTGCCGTATGGCGGTCGAGTCCGCCTTTTGCCGCCTCAAGGCACGTTGGCGGGCTCTCAGCGCGCGCCTCGAGGTGGACAAAGAGAACCTGCCACGACTCATCAGTGCCGCATGTGTCCTACACAACATCTGTGAGACCAGAGGGGAGGTATTCCTGGAATCCTGGGCAGAGGAGGCACAGCGCGCTGACCGGGCATGTCAGCGTGAGCGCACACGGCGCAGGGATACAGATGAGGGTGAGCCCTCCGCCACTGTTGGGGGCTCTGGCACTGCACAACAGCAGGCTGGCCCTATCCGTGAAGCCCTGGCTGACTACCTAGTCACCCTTGCAGACCGGGGAGCCGAGGAGTAGAGGCAGCATGCTCTTTCTGCCCATTTATTCGCAACAGGCTGTGCTTCATCCCCTGAGCCACAAAGCAGGATTTGCTGGAATGGGGTGCGATGATGACACAAACCTTGTTTTATGCTTTTGTATTTGTAAAAAATGTGTTATTAATAAAGAGAACCTGCAGAACACGTTCCCTCCCTCTTCCCAGTT